TCTCATAAACCCAGAGGAGCAACTCTACTCTGCCCTCCGCGGTCCCTTTGACTTGGAATCGATTTGATGGCAGTGAATGGGCGTGCTCCATCAGGAAAGGACACTCAGGAGATGAGTACGTCATGTTTGCTGCAGTGCAAGGTTGGCAGAGATGAGAGGAACTCTGTTGTAGATTGCATTGTGGCATCTCAGTCTCCACCCCCTGAAATACACACTGTAAATTCTAACCTCTATGCCTATGATTAGAATCCCATTTGGAAATGGGTTGTCCTTGCCGCGCCAATGAGGAAGGATTAGTGTAGGGTGTGTCTTAAATCAATCTGTTTTGAGATGAAAAATGAGACTAATCAGACAAATGAGCAAGAGGAGATGCACAGAGAGATTCCATGCCACAGGAAGCTCAGCAAGGAGTCCAGGGATCCGAAAGAGCCCTCCTCCCAAGGCAAGAGAGAGAGAGAGAGAGAGAGAGAGAGAGAGAGAGAGAGAGAGACTTCTCCTTGGAACTGGCACCGTGAATCCCGCCTTCTAGCCTCTTCAATTGTGAGAAAGTGAATTTCGGTTTGTCGAAGTCACCCACTTGTGGTAGCTCTGTTTCAGCCGTACAGGTAACAAGAGACTCTCTACAAGGCGGTTTGACTCGACAGCCTCAGAGATGGTTCGAACACAGCGAAGGTCAGAGAGATGGGAAAGGAATGGCCACCATTTCTTCTGTTATCCTAAGGTCACCACGAGCAGAGCTGACTGGACAGCCACTTGCAATAACAGCATGCTCCATGAGGTAGGCTGGGGTCCCTTCGTCATGATTATTAAAGGGAAAGAGAGAATCGCAGTTCAGCTGCCCCTTCAATACCAGCACAGTCAAACCTAATTAAGTACCACATTTCCAACTCAGACGGCTGCACCTGTCCCGGGCACATAGCCCCAACATCACGGTTAGTAACTGTTTTCTGAGCATCTTCAGGGGCTGTAAATATCTTCCTTCCCTCGCTCCCACCCCATTCCAGGTCTCCGGTTACTTTATTCTGTTTAGATAGCTGTGACAGGGCTGAGGGACAATTGCCTTTTTCAAATGCGTGTTAATCATTCAAACATTCAAGATGATCCCTAAAGAAGTGTCCTCTGTTTGAACATGTTCTTCTTAGTAAGAGAGACCCAGGTGGTGTTCCAGGCAGCGCCTGGGACCCTCCATGGCACCCTGGATACACCGAGTGTGCGGAGTCTGCGTCTTTTCTGCAGGTGGGAGCTGTAGGAGAAATGCTGAGAGACCTCTATCATGCCACAGGTGCCACCTGTGCATTGGCAGAATCGATGGACACCCTAGGCGGGCCTCAGGTTCCTGTGGGCCCCTACTTCATGTTAAGCTGGCACAGAGGAGATGCCCTCCATGTTAGGTTGGCACAAGGGAGAAGATAGCTGCCCTCCTCGCCTCCCTGGCCAGCAGAGCAGAAGAGCGAGTTCGGGATGAGATGGGTTCTTAGAATGGCCTGGGGCGAGTGGCTCTTTGTGCTGCGGAGCAAGCTGCATGGTGAGTTCCCTCCATCTGCTGGTTCCTGCTGTACCAGGTATGGTTTCCTCCAACTGCCAAGCTCCTGGAATTAACGAGGGCGCTGGGAGGTGCCAAACCACAGGAGCAGCAGCAGGGCTGGAGGAGAGGGGTTGGTGTGGCTCCCGGGCTGGCTTTTGACCCTCGTTGGCAGTGAGGAGGAGGACAGGGGGGGCATTGTGGCATGGATGAAGCTTCTTGGCAGGAAGGATTGGACTTCCTGAATGAGGGACATGCTCGGCCAAAATTCAGCTTAACTCGAATTGCATCTCCATTTCCTGTTCCTATAAGCTCCTGCTCCGTGCCAGGCAGCTTTTCCAGAGTAGCATGTGCCTTGTCTTTATATGCCAGCAAATAGATTTCTCTAGACACCTTTCCCCTTACGACAACCTCTGCGATGACTGTAGCTTATCCTTCTTCCCTCTCCTCTTTTCTTCTTCCCTTCTCTGCCTGCCGCTCTCTCCATCAGGCCTGCAAGAGCAGCCACAAAATCGATCTACCTTATGACCCAGCTACTGTAGTTAAAAATAAGGATTATACTGACTGGCAATCCTTCCGTTTTAGGAATTTATAATTTATATAGACATATCCAGCTATGACAGAGCCCTGGTGGCACAGGGATTAAGTGCTCGGCTGCTGATAGGTCAGCAGTTTGTACTCAGGAGTCCACTATGGGAGAAAACTGTGGCAGCAGGCTTCCGTACAATTACAGCTTTGGGAATCCTAGGGGGTAGCTCTACTCTGTCCCATTAGGTCACAATGAGCCCAACTTAACTTGAAGGTAATGTATGTGCTTACATAACACACATGTGTAATTGAAGTTATTGCAAGTTCTATTGCTTTTGTAGACATAGATAACTCCACTAGCATTAAGTTCATGAACATAGAAAACCTTGCTATTCATGAGCTACTTTGCCGACACCACACCAGAGAGTGCATATTCCAATGCCGCTGCTTGTAAGAAGCAGATAACTGCTTAGCAGATGGTGTAAATGAACATTTGGAATCAGTCCAGTCTTTGTACTACCACCAAGCGGCAGTTAACTTGGAATGATGAATCAGTTTTTTCACGAAACAACCACATTTGTTGTATGCTTGGTAAATAACTTCATAACCCTAATAAACATTTAAATAGGTAATGCTGGTTCATCTTCTTCCTTTGGAACTAGATTTCTGGCAAAAAAGGACAAATCTTTAAAGGATAAGGACCAAACCACATTAAAAGAAAATATATGATAATTTATTAAATTTTCATTTATGAAATAGTCAATATATCAAGATGACGTTTTTTTCCAGGATGCAGCCCTAAGAAGTGATTTTTGCTGGTGCTTACCAAATATCCATACTCAATACAATAAAATACTTTATTGACTGAAAATGCAATATCAAAGTGAATTCTTTCTTTAAAGATATCATTTTAAAGTTCTATTTAAGCTGATGACTGATACAATAAAGGTAGTTAAAGTAGTTTACCTGGCTGGTTACATGTGGCACTTAGGTCTTGTAGTCCATAAGTATATTATTAAGTGACAAAGCACATCCAATACAACTATTTCTAAAAAACTACAAAATAAATTTCTAAGATAAATACATATAGCCAACCCCAACAATCTAATTCCCCAAGGAGGGAAAAATAAGTGATTTCCTCATAGGAGACCATGACTAAAGTTGTATGTTCCTATCAAAATCTGTATTTCCAATTTTTTTTCTGATCGCTGATTTTCTTTCTTTCTAAAATTATTTTATTAGGGGCTCATACAACTCTTATCACAATCCATATACACATCAATTGTATAAAGCACATTTGTACATTTGTTACCCTTATAGTTCTTGAAACATTTGCTCTCCAAGTAAGCCACTGGCATCAGCTCATTTCCCCCCTCCCTCTCCATTCCCTCCTCCCTCTCTGCTTACCCCTCCCCCTCATGAACCTGGAGGAGAAAACAATGGGACAGACAGTTTGGGGGGGGGACAGGGGAGAAGGGGAGGTGAGGGAAAAAGAAGTGGTGTTAACAAACCCAGGGACAAGGGAACAACAAGTGATCCAAATTGGTGGTGAGGAGGGTGTAGGAGGCCTGGTAGGGTGTGATCAAGGGTAATGTAACCGAGAGGAATTACTGAAACTCAATGAAGGCCAAGCATGATCTCGATCTTTGATGAGCATCAAATGTGAGCTCCCCCAAACCCCAGTGTGTGTTATGACCACCAACTCAGCAGCAGGGAGCACTGCATCCAGAACGATCTCCTCCCAGGAACTCAGTGAGGTCAGCCCCCACCACCCGCATTTCTTCTGTGTCCTGTTGCAGATGTCTCCAGGTCACAGAGACTCGCTTGTCTGTCAGAGAGGGAGGAGGGAATGGAGAGGGAGGGGGGAGAGGAGCTGATGCCAGTGGCTTACTTGGAGAGCAAGTCATTTATTTTCCAATTCTTCTTTTTTAAAAGCTTCTTAATGTGAATTCGGTGAAGGTCTACAGAGTGGATCAGTTTTCCGGTCAACAAGCAGACACATTTGGCTTCTTCTCATTCACCGTCATCCCTGCAGCCGCTGCATGTGATCCTAGGGCACAGAGAGGAACGATCCGCTCAGAATCCAGAGAGTCCACAGAACCATGTGGTCTTTCTGAGCCCGCATTACTTGAGTTGCTAAAAGTCTGCGGAAAAACCTGCCCTCTAGAGCCCTTTGTTGGTTGATAAAAATTGTAGTTAAATAAAGGCTTGACCAATAAAGCAATCAAAGTACGATCTGTCCCTACTGTGAATCAGTCATGACAGCATCTCGTGTCCTCTAGTCTATGCCACTGTTCACCAAACAGCAACAAGCCTTAAGTGACAGGAGTCATTCATCAAGTAGTGCTTAAAGCGGCAGATCTGTATGATGCCAGTCCTCCCTTCCTGCTATGCCACAGGGCAGACAGGGTTGGAATGGCAACAGCTTTATTTTAAGCAGGTGGCAAAGGGTAGCACTTCACAGCTACACTGTAAGTGGATCCTGCATCACCTTAATATAAGGAAGCAATTAAACATTAGCAGCACCTTAATGAGCAATACCAGGGAAGAGCACCTTTTATGAGATCAGAAGCTGTGAAATCCCTCACAAGCATTTGTTCTCAGAAGCCATTATCTCCTTCACTGTGTGTCCTGAAGAGTCCCCGGATGGTGGAAATGGTTAACTGAGAGCGGCCCAAAAGGCTGGGGTGTGAGGCACCGAACTGCAAACCCTACGGAGGACAGCTCTGGTCTCACACGAACTGCAGTGGATTTTGTTCTGAGAAAGGTCAGCACGATGGGTCAGCCTCTCGTAGGTCACAGAGAGCAAACAACTTCTTTTCCTGCACTACGTCAGAGGAGAAGGTTAACCCAGAACTAAAAAGTCATGTGATTTCTAGCTCTCATCCCTACCACTGAAAGAGACCAGTTAGACATTCATTCATTCTACCCATTCTGTCTACCTAACAGATATTGTTGTACCGAGTCTTAGAACAAAGGGCTCTGGGTTTCAGGATCATCTCAATCGCTCCCCCACTGGTACAGATGTTCTTCCTCTTGCGTTTACGCCACGAGCTGTCTTACAAATACTAAGGCCAACTACTAGCTTCTGCAGTGTTATCACAGTTTATTCAAGAATGTGGACAAACAAAACCTGCTTACAATGTTACAGTACTGATTCAGAAATCATGACCCTCTTTCAAAGTTTGTGTAGGCCACTGATCCCTTTAATGGTCAGTGTTTCCTTCTGCACTGGATTTTGAAATGGAGCTCTCACGAGCCTTCGGATGACTTCCAGCATCATGGAACAGTACAACCTTGAAAAAGAGACAGCAGCTAATCATGCCGACACAATCAGGAAGATTTAACAGTGTTCCTAATAATTCTCAGAGAAATTATGTCTGAAACCAAGCGTCCCTGTCTTACTACAGAATTGAGCTAGACAGAGACTGCAGGAAGCAATGCTTTGAGCTGGGAGAAAAGACAATTGAGCACTGCACAGCTATACTGTAAGTATTGACTTTACCCGCCAGCTATTGAAAAATCATGTGTGGACCTGAACACTTGTATTTAATTTTTTAAAATCCTTTTATTGGGAGCTCATACAACTCTTATCACAATCCATCCATCCATCCATTGTGTCAAGCACATTTGTACATTTGTTGCCCATTCTCAAAACATTTGCTTTCTACTTGAACCCTTGGTATCAGCTCCTCCTTCTCCACCCCCCTCCCTCATGGGCCCTTGATAATTTATAAATTTTTATTTTGTCATGTCTTAAACACTGTCCGATGTCTCCCTTCACCCACTTTTCTGTTGTCCACCCCACAGGGAGGGGGTTACATGTAGATCCTTGTAATCAGTTCCCCCTTTCTACCCCACCTTCCTGCCACCCTCCCGGTATCGCCACTCTCACCACTGGTCCTGAAGGGATCATCTGTCCTGGATTCCCCATGTTTCCAGTTCCTATCTGTACTAGTGTACAGCCTCTGATCTAGCCAGATTTGTAAGGTAGAATTGGGATCATGGCAGTGGGGGAAGGAAGGATTTAGGAACCAGAGGAAAGTTGTATGTTTCATTGTTGCTACACTGCACCCTGACTGGCTCATCTCCTCCCCATGACCCTTTTGTAAGGGGATGTCCAGTTGCCTACAAATGGGCTTTGGGTCTCCACTCTGCACTCCCCCTCATTCTCAATGATAGGATTTTTTTCTTCTTTGATGCCTGATACCTGATCCTTTCGACACCTCATGATCGCACATGCTAGTGTGGTTCTACCAGGTGGGCTTTGTTGCTTCTGAGTTAGATGGCCGCTTGTTTACCTTCAAGTCTTTAAGACCCCAGACGCTATATCTTTTAAGCTCTGATGCCATTTCCTCCTCTGGATTTGGATTTTATTATTGACAATCCTTGGCTCACACAGGGTTGTGTGCTTCTTTCATGTAGATGTAAGCTGATGCCTCACTTAGATGGCTGCTTGTCTGAAGACTCTTTATGGGAGTAGAAAGCCCTGTCTTTCTCCAGCTGAGTGGCTGGTGGTTTGGAACTACTGACCTTGCTCATAACCACTACACTACCAAGGCTACTTAATTTATTTTAATATTGAAATTAATGTTTGTTTATTCTAGCACACACACACACACACACACACACACACACACACACACAAAGAAAAGCATGGCCATTTATTCATCAGTTTGTATATGGACCTAATTGCACCCTGAGGCTTTTGCTATAGTTTTATCTAATTGCATTTTATGGTGTTATCTCATCACCAAGTCAGTAAGTTTTTAGACAACTTGTTATTATTGCTGTCAGGTGCCTTTGAGTGACTTCAGACGTCTAGACCACAGAATTAAACACTGCCCCGTCCTGCCCCATCCTCGCAGTCCTTCCGTTTGAGGCCCTTGTGGCAGCCGCTGGGCCGATCATCTGGTCAGAGGTCTGCCTCTCTTTCCCTGCCCTCCACTTGGCAAGTTTATACTCCTGATGCCTCACAGTTTCTTGATTTGCTCTTCAGTTTTGAAAGAAATAATTGACCAGAGGGATGCATTTCAACAGCTGCTATGACCTTCATCCAGTTGGTTCTGGTTCACAGGGACTGTAGGAACAACAGAACAAAGGGCTGCCTGGTCTTGCCACGTGGTCACGATTGTTGTGTTTGAGCCCATGGGTGTAGCCATGGTCTCAGTGAATCTCATGGACGTCCTCCCTTCCGCTTTCCCGTGGCCCCTCTGCCTGACCAGGTAGGGTGTCCTTTCCAAGGGCTCGGTCTCTCCTGACCCCGTGTCCAGCAGTGTACGTGAGGTGAAATCTTGCCATCCTTGCCTCTAAGGAGCACGCTGGCCGTATTTCTTCCAAGATGGATTTGTTTATCCGCTTGGTGGTCCAAGGTGCTTTCCATGTTCTTTGATTTCCATAGGAAAGATCGTCAAGTAGGTAAAATACCTTACGTGTGAACATGTATTTCACGTGTCTTGCTGTAAGCTCTGCCACCAGCTGGCCTTTCAAACACCAACAAATTCTCTCCCGATGGACAGGCTTCTGTGGAGCTTCCAGATTAAGAAGGAAGAAAGTCCTAGAGATTCATCTCTGAGAGATGAACCCCTGAAGACCCCACAGATCACAGCAGACTAGACTCCGGGATCAAGCTGGAGAACCACGGCAGAATCTGGTCTGGGACAGTGCTGAGAGACAAGCTCTTTGCAGTGGAAGTCACTCAACCCACAGAGTAGCCAGCCACCAGACTGACTTAAAGAGACCCGTGCTCTGGAAGAAGGTGTGGGACCAGCCAAGGTTCCATTCTGCAGCCCAGGACGTCACCGTGAGCCAGTGGCAGGCCAGGAACTCACGCTAACAACATCTCAAAGATACCCCAGCACCAGTAGGACCCTGGGAGAGAAGTTCCTCTGGGTGGGCTCCTGGGGAGCTGGGGATGTAGCACTGTTGCACTCAGTGGGGTGTCTGGTGACCAAGCCCCAGGTGAGATCCTTGGCCACCTTTTTAGCTGAGATCTTTAGCCAGAAATGGCAGAACTGCCCAGACCACTGTCCCACAAAGACTCACTAGTTTTTGGCAGCTGCTTCTGGCTTGTCCCAAATCTGAACTTTGGGACACTCCAATATCTTGTATCTGGAAGGGCCCGGGGGACATCTGCTCCACCCTCCTGTGTTCTGGAAAGAGCTGCAGGTCCTGAGGAGAAGAGACAGCTAATCTGCAGTGGTTGAGGTATTAGAAGCAGAGACCAGACTTGAACGTGGGTCCGGGGATCTTCCTACTGTTCTGAATGGGCCGACAGGCCGGTCAAGCAGTGTACAGTTCTCAGCACCCCCTGCTCTGAACTAAAGGGCCTGGAGCACTGCAGACAACCTCCCACTGCTGGCTGCTGGCTGCTGGCTGTGACTTAAGCTCTTTGGAAATCACCCGTGGGTCATTTGGGGGTGGGGGCTGGGGGTTGGGCGAGTTGCTCAGAATGCTGGGAAACGTGATAGCTGCAGAGAACATGTGCCTCTCCATCCCAGAGGCTGGGAGATGAAAGGCAGGCCTGGACCACTGCTTGGATGTGTGGCCCGGTCTGGGGGTGCACTCTGGGCTGAGGGAAGATGTTTGGAGCTCGGGGGCAGAGGTGCAGGTTCATAGAGAGCTGGGCAGGGCAGTGTGGCCAAGCCCAGAGCCTCACGGTCAAGTCCACAGAGGCTGGGCATGCGGGTCCACATGTGGATGGTAGTGGTGGGGACAGAAGCAGGAAGCACTTCTGGTTCCTGGTGAACAAAGGAGGCTGGGAGGTGGGCATGGCCAGCACCAGCTCATGCAACCGAGGTGGAGGGGGAACTATGGGCCCTGGGCTCTGTAGGCAGCTGGGGTGGGGAGGTGGGCTGGGGCTGGGCTTCATTTTGATTTCTGCTTTGTGGTCATGAGCATCTGTTTCTGTCTATGCTGCTGTGATGTGTGTTACACGAGCTTGTGGGACCCCCTGGTCTGGGGTCATGGGCCTGGACCGAGACAGGGACACACGGGGACACACACACAGGGACACAAGTACTCATACACACAGACACTCACACATAAGGACGCTCACACACAAGGGCACACACATAGGGTACAAGTACACATACAGGGGCATGCAAATGAGGGTACACACACACACACACACACACACACACACACACATAGAAAAACCCATCACACAGGGACATACACAGGGATATACAGACTCTCACACATATGGGAGTGCACAGGGGGACACTCACAGGAGCACACATACACTCACACAGGGACACACAGGAGACATGTACTCATACACATTCACACATACACACACATTCACACTCTTCCATGGACCCATCCCAGGCCCATTTCTTGCCCAGCAGGGTCCTGCAGGCCCTCAGTCTCATCCAGGCCCAGAGTCACTAGACAAGTGGCCACTAGAGGGCCCCATGTGTGGCCGGAGACTTCGGTCCTCTTTCACTAAGACAATGAGCAGAGCACTGTGTCCCCCCAGCCTCAGGCTGGTCTTGCTCCAGCCAGGGCCCTTGTGGCTGGCTCCGAGGCCTGGGCTGCACCCAGCCTCCCCAGGCCAGGGGAGAAGGCACCGGGGCCACCTCCTCTCAGTCCCCAGAAAGGAGATTTTCCTGGGCCGCTTCCAAGCTGACCTGGGGGGCACAGCTATCAGCAAGGCAGATGTGGTCCCTGCCTGGATGCTCTCACAGCAGCTGGGGGAACACTAAGCTTTAAAAGGTGTGCCTGAGAACCAACCCCCGGGGGCCAGGGACACACGGAGACACACAGACACAGGCTTTTGCTCCGGCTGCCTCACTTGGCAGCTCACATCTCCCTCATCTGTAAATGGGCACAGCCCCTCCTGTGCAGGGTTGTTAAGGGCAGACAGCGTGAACGGTACCAGGGCTGGCCCTGGCCTCTCCTGGTTCCAGCCGGCCCTGTTGCCTGGCCCTGGCTCTGCTGAGACATTTTTCTAGGCCCCAGGGGGCTCCCCCGTCGCTTTCTGGAAAGCCCCTAGAGCATGGTGGGCCGCAGGGTCTGCACATCTGCCCTTGTCCCCGCCTTTGCACAGAGCCAACCAGCTTGGGGTGGTGGTGGGGTGGTGTCTATTGTTCATTGTGCCCCTAATGCTGCCCCCTGGC